TCGTTTGGACCTGGGTGGTAGCTTTTGTTCTTTTTGTTGTGTGTTTTCTAGGCTTTAGGACTTATTTCTTGTGGCAGTTCGTGTGCTTTCAGTCTCCATGCATTTCCCTCACCCTTAATTTGCTATGTGCTCTTTGGCTCCATCCGAGATGATGGGAAACTTGTTGAGAGAGTAATGAGATAAAACTCCAAAATTATCACCATAATAGGGTTTTAAACTGTCATTTAGAGTATCACGAGATGACAAGATGGCAATTAGATGGAACCACAAGATATTTGATATAGTCTACGTCATGTCTCCATTAAAACGTTAAAACACCATGAAACATGGCCTAAAAGAATGTATGACAATTTTCTAACTTCAAAAGAAAAAAAAAGTTAAACATAACTTCAGCACTGTCACTCACACAATGTTTTTGGTAAGAGGTAAAGTGGGGTAGGTAGTGACACCTACAAAACATTGTTTGGGATTTAAAAAAAATGGTAAAGTGGGGGAGTGTATCCTTGAAACTAGGCAGTTAAGGGACTCACAAAATTGGAAAAATTCTACCACACATAAAACATGATACCTAAAGCAAACTTAGTATCGCTCCATAGTCCATACCTTCATTTACCTACCTAATAAGCATATCTTCACCTTGTGGCAAGCTATTTCATGATGACCTATAGCGCGCTTGAAGATATATGCTAATATAACGACATATATTTCAAGCGCGTTATAGGTCATCGTAAAATGGTTTGCCAAAAGGCGGAGATACGTCTATTAGGTAAATGAAGGTATGGAGTGATATGAAGTTTGTTCTAGGCATCATGTTTTATGTGTGGTAGGATTTAGCCAATTTAGTGAGTCCCTTATTTACTAATACAGAAGAAATAGTTTTGCAACATAAATAAGCATAATAGTGGTCTTTTTCCAAACCAAGCATGCTTTAAAAGTAAAATAGTACCCTGTAAATGTAAAAAAGCCAAACTGCCAAATAATGAAAATGAATATCCACAGGTATAGCGGTCTTACTCAGTTTTTGTGCAATTGAAGCAGCCTCAGCAACACGACTATCATCAGAGAATAATGGAGAGAGTTCCATCAGATCTCCAGGACTACCATTGAACTCCATCAAGTACTATGCCAAAAAAGAATCATCAACAAATAGTCAATGACGATGATGGTAAGAGGGAAAATGACAAAGAAGAAGAATAATATTCATGCACAAAGGATTAGCAAATCATCATGTGCCATGGAACAAGCCACTATAGATTATAAAAGTTACCTTAACAAGGTCTATGGTTTGACTAGCATTTTCTCGTTGTGCGTCTGCATTCTGAATACTTGCGCAATAAATGTAAAAGTTACGTACTAGATGGAAGCAAAAATGAAATCGAGTCATTAAGTGTGACTGATGTTTACCTGTAGATGATCTCCAATTTTTGCAGCAGTTTGACCCACACTAGATATACGGGAATCCAGACGTGCAAAGCTTTCAAATAAGCCATCTACACCTTTGGCTAGCTGAATATTAAAACATTGTAATGTCCAATTATGAGCACCATGCATAACTAATGAATGAGGGAAAACAACTCATGTTGATGGATAAAGGAGGTGAATGTGACCACTAAAATTTTCTTCTTAAAGGAAAACAAACAAACTACTCAATACTATTCATCATCATTATGCATTCTAAAAGAAGCTCATTGCCATTTAGTGAAGCTTATCTAGGACTCTTGACCCTTTACCTTAGATATTAGTCTGTTCATTCAAAGTCCTAACTGTTATGGCCACTCAGTTTCCCCCCATAAGGCCAGACTACACATGTACAGATTGAATGATTGTAATATAGAAATAAGCAAACTTGTCAACCAAGTAAATTAGAACACTTAAAAAAGGTTAATCTCACAGAGTTAGAACATCTCGCAGTATTGCAAGCAGAGAAAAAACATATAAAAGCGTAACCTCGGAAAGTGTTTTCTTGTGCTTTGAGTCTTGAACATCAACTTCTTTCTTGAGATTGTTGAGCTTCCCATCAATCTTCAAACCAAACAAAGCCAGCCATCAGAAAAAGAAGGGTAAGGCAGAGAGAACAGAGTCACATAATCAGCAACTTGTATCCCCATTTACCTGTTTCCGGAGACCAATCAACTGTGTGCAAGAATTCTTAAACAAATCTAGCAATGCATCAACTTCGGGAAACAGGGGACTTAACTGCCCCTGACCTGCCTTTCCCGGGTCCGGTGCCATTCGCACATTTCCATTTGCTAGAGAATCCGAATGGACGCCATGTCCTTCGGGTGAATCTTTTTCTTCAGCTTGGTAAGAGGGCAACAGCTCATTCACCACATTTCCAAATAATGCATCAAACGAAAACTCCCCCTTAATAATGATGATGATGATGAAAACAAAGCACATTGGAGGTAGTGATTATTTAACTTAATTAACAGAGCATCAAACCATTGACACCAATAATAATCATCATGTGGTTACCTTAAAGTCATCAATGTCCAGAACAAGTGGAAAAGAGTCAGACTTGGTTCCATCTTTACTTTCTTTCATCAAAATCGACCGAGTAAACCTGGGAATTTACAGTTAGATTAGATACCACTTCCGTCCCAAAATGCACGGGGATCAAATGCCAGAGGCTATTACGGAGAAGGCATGTACCTGAAACTTGAGAGGAGATGGAGCGGCTACGGGTAGGGGTGAGATCTCCAAGGAAGGATTGCGGAGCAATGGTGCAGGCCGCAGGGGATCGCGGAGCAATGGTGCGACTGTTTCTCTGATTTCGATTTCTCGGATTTCTTGCGACTGTTTTTTGGGACTGTTTCTTCTTCTAGTTCTTTTGCTTTCAATCTTTTTCTTTTTTTGCTTACAATCTTTTTCCTTTCCTTTTTGTTTGTTTTTTTGTTTTTTTGTTTATGATTTTCTATTTTTTACGCTTGTTGTTTTTTTCAGTTTTATTTTTCATTTTTTTCTGTTTTATTTTTTCTGTTTTTCAAATTTATTTTTTGTTCTTTTTCAGTTTTTTATCATTTTTTTCTGTTTTGTTTTCAGTTTCTTTGTTTTAAAATTTATTTTTTTCTGTTTTTGTAATTGATGACCGCTGGAGAAGCAAAGAAACCAAATTACTTAGGGGTATTTAGGTAATTTTTTGTATTCCTTACCTTACATTACCCACTAAATATCCAAACACAATTTTTTAATTTCTTATCTTACTTTATCTACCTTACTTTACCTACCTTCAATTACATACCTAATAAAATTTTACCTACCTCCTACCAAACACAACATTAGATTTTAGAAATGTTTTTTTCGGTAGGCCGCTTTTTTAAATGATACTCCCCCCGTTCTTAAAAACACTTCTTCTTTCATTTTTTTCACTTCCAACAAAACACTTTCACTTTCTATTAAAAATCCACTTTTACCCTTACTTTTTCATACCTTATCTATCACATCATACTTTATCTCTAATAATCTATCCATCACATCTTACTTTTACAGTTTTACCTACCAAATCAAGGGTAAAATTGGAAGTCAACTACAATTTAATACTTCTTTATTTTTACACACAATCAAAAGAGGAATACTTTTTCCAAACGGAGAGAGTATAAATTAAGGAGTAATTTCTAAGAAATGTAAAAGTAATTAAATATTTTTTATGTTTTTGTAATTAGATACTTTATTTGCCTCAAATTAATGTTTTCGTTTCATTCGTAGCGCCTTCAAAGTAAGACTAGACTTTGATCGTTAGTATCTACTATATATATGCAGTAATTTTCTTAATAAAATATAATATTTGAAAATTTTATTTCAAAACGAATCTACAATATTATTCGTTATATATTCTTTTCGAATTCAAATGTTGACACTAAGGCCCCGTATGGTACACGAAATTTAAATTATGGAATTACAATTGAGGATTTCAATTCCAATTCTAGTGTTTGGTAGCACAAAAATTATGTGGATTTGGAATTGGTAGTGTAAAAAATGAATTGGAATTGATGAACTCAATTCTATAAAATTGAATCCCATTGAATTTTAATTTCAATTCAATTCCAATTCCATCAATTCCGTATACCAAACGAACCCTAAAAGGAATTTGATTGAAGTACTTTAAATACTTTTGGACCGGTTATGCCCATTTTGAAAATTTGTTTAATCATAGTATTGTTTAAGATGCCTTGACCATTTATTGCAGAGAGTTTTATACTTTTATATGATGCACGATGAACATATTACGAGATTTGATCCCAAAAAATAAATTGATATTTGAAATTATGTAATTTATTACGAGTTTAATATTATGTTAATTACAGATTACAAATTTATTTATTTTATTCATATGAAACTTGTGTTACAAACAATGCATACCAACTATCGTCATATCATGATCGGGCAGACCATATACTCCTTTCGTCTCAATTTAAACTGTTTATTTTAATTTATAATATTTGACTTAGTTATTCTCAGTTCAATTTATATAGAAATTTGGTTGAACTTAAAATATAAAATATACATATTTAAAAACTATATTACAACTTCTTCAATGCAAGAGGTGACACAATTATATTACTTTATCAAATAATAGAAATTTGGTTGAACTTAAAATATAAAATATACATATTTAAAAACTATATTACAACTTCTTCAATGCAAGAGGTGACACAATTATATTACTTTATCAAATAAATAGTAAAAAAAATAAAGAAAATAAAACAGACAATTTAATTCAAGACAAATGAAGTAAGAAATTGTACTATTAAAACAAGATATAACATAACTACCTTAATTGATTTAAGTAAAAGAAAATAGATACTCTTTTCATCTAAATTCAATCTTCGCATTTGACTTATCATGGTCAAAGTTATAAATTTTAGACTCAATATACAAGAAAAATGCATTATGCTTCGATATAAATGTAACATCAATTTTTTTTTAGATGTAGGTCTGAAATATTAATTTTTTGTAAAATATATGTATGTTTGGAGTAATATCAATGTGCAAAAGGTTACATTGAAGACCACTGCGTACGAGAATAAGATAGCCGAAAGAGGGGATTAAATAAATTCTATCAACCCAAGCTCAAAATAAAAAGAAAGAAAGAGGTCACTGACAAACATCCAAAATTGACACTTTTGCTAGTCACTAATAAAGGCGCATTTAAGAAGCTAATCGCCCCAACGGCATAATGAGAGAAGAAAAAAGAACACAGACACATAATCACAGATGGATATGATGTTTACTTCATCAAATTATAATATGATAACTCAGCAATTTACATACACATGGAGAGGGAAGAAATGGATGGATGATATGTGCGTGGATCAAGCTTTGCGGACTATGATTCTGCGTTCCCGCTTGTACTCAACCTCCTCCCTCTGATGCATTATCAACAACGCTCTTCTTACCTGTGCCCCATCACCCAACCCACATTCTCATCAGTTTCATCAAAACCCACAATTAACAAACACATTTCTTATACTTTGTGATGTTATTAAAAGGCACGACTTTAGTCTAGGGACACTATGTGATGCCCACATTCATGATCCGATCACAAGGAATCTTACAATTGAGTCGCTGATGCCCATCCTGGAAAGCTCGTCAATTAGTCTCCTTTCAGATACGTGGCTTCCGATTCCCATCCTCCTCTTTATTTGGTTCTCCGCTTGCTGTTCATCAAATTATGAAAAAAAAGATGATCAGATTTTGCAAGTACAAATTCTGTTTTGAATGAGAAGTTACCGAGACCGGGGAATGGTATGACAGGCATAGTGCCATTATTATACCTTTATCTCGTTCGCCATCTCGGGTGTCATATTTATGTGTTGGTTGATTCCAGATCTAGCAGCATCCATGGTAGAGTTGTTGAACAGCCTAATTGCTTCTTTCACATGGTTCTCATTTGCTACGTGTGAACTAAAACCAGAACCCGTCCCAAAATAACAAAGAGAATAGAAGAGAAACCCCATTAGTTTACACACAGCATGACTGGTTTTGTGGTCCAACCCAAACACTAATACGAATGATACTGGACAATAAAACTACACTATCATTCAAACAAATTTAAACTCCTAGAGTGCAATGAATCTAAAGCAAGCACGATAGGAACAGTATACACCTATAATGTTGTATGTGATATTCACTCCATCTACTTACAGTCTCAATTTTGCAAGAGCTTCGCTCAGCCTTACTATAGCTTCAAGTTGTCTCACGGTAATTGGAATTGCAGCTGCCTCCCCACTTTCGTTTGCCTGGCGCCTCATATCCTACGGCAGTTGACAGCACAAGTCACATAGAAAGCAATAATGTGGCAACTCCACTACACTAGTGAATGGAAAGCTGCTAAATCATACGGAGTAAGCTTTTTTAGGGTGGGGTTTCAAACACTGGTGGAAGGATTGGGGAAGGGGAGGGGAAATAATCAGCCTAAAGGGATCAAGTCTCCCCCCACATAAACTATGGGGCGAGAGCAAAATTCATCACTTTCCTTCCCCCATCTACAATTCCTTCAAAACCAAACTGAGGGTAAGGCTTCAAATATTGATTACACCAAAGAAATAAAAAAAATATCAGTCATCAATTTATACTTGTAAAATAGCTGTATAGCATCTAGAATGAGTGAAGAATTTGGAATATCCTACTTACCTGTCTAATCCTGACATAAGTTTCCTGCAACATTGAGGCTGCTTGCTCTGATAGCCTGGGGTGACAATGCGTTCGACAGTATTGTATGTACCTGCATAAAGAAACTCATTGTTTTAATATCAGATATTTAATACCAGTAACTTGCCTAAAAAACTGGTTGAAAAGCCTAAGGCAAAACCTTTTCAACCAGTTGTCCTCCTTGGAATTTCTTGTCTCTCCCAAGCTTGCAGCAGCAGATGAATGCACATTTATAATATGCTTAGCAATGGTCTGTAGAGTAAGATTATTTGGGTGAGAAGCCATAACTTTATACCATGTCAAATCCCTGGTCAAATGAGTATCAGGTTTGATAGAGGGATGTCCTAAATGCAGCACAGTAATTTGCTGAAAGTTAAACTAACTACTCCATAAAAAAACAGTGCACCGTAAAACAACTTTTAACTCAACTAAAGTCATACTTCTAATTTTGCTTAGTGTAACAATAGACTCAATCACAGAAGTAGATTAACCTTGTCTTGGTCGTACATTCTGATGTCTTTTACGATGAATATCATATCAAACCTTGAAAGAATTGTTGTCTGCAAATCAATATTATCTTGTGCAGTCTGTAATGAGAAGCAATCGATCAGTACTCATGTGTCAAATAGGAGAGATATGGTAAGGTCAGGTCATAGACCTTGAGATCATCATAGCGCCCCGATGGAGGATTAGCTGCAGCAAGCACTGATGTTCTTGAATTGAGAACCGTAGTAATTCCTGCTTTGGCAATGGAAATAGTTTGCTGCTCCATAGCTTCATGAATAGCCACCCTAAGCAACACAGAAAGCCCCTATGAAATCTGGTCAAACTGTGAAAGACTAGCAAAGAACTCTTACCAAAACTAATTGTTAAGTAATTACCTGTCTTCAACTCTCATTTTGTCAAACTCATCAATACAGACAACACCCCCATCTGCCAAAACCATAGCTCCTCCTTCTAGATAAAACTCACGCTATATTGTTCATTTAAAAAATCAAAGGAAATATTTGAAGTGAAATGAAAATTACAGTATTTAATAACAATGCACTTGACACAAACATCAAAGGCAGCAAGCTTACAGAGCTATTGTCTCTGATCACAGAAGCTGTAAGACCAGCAGCAGATGAGCCTTTTCCAGAAGTATATACAGCCACAGGAGCCGTTTTCTCAACAAATTTTAAAAACTACATAATGAAACATAGAGTCAAGAACTACATGAGAAAACAGAGTCAGAGCATCATTCATGCACATGTAGAAAATCTCAGAGTGAATGTTATATTGATAGACAATTTTCTCTAACATCAACAAAAAAATCACATATCATTTTTCTATAGTAAATCATCTCATAACTGGAAGTCTGAAACCATGCCTGACCTGTGACTTTGCAGTAGAGGGATCTCCAAGAAGCAACACATTAATGTCACCTCTTAACTTAACACCATCTGGCAATGTCTACAAAAGCAGGAGAGAATTATTATGACAATTAGAGAACCCATGGAACAACATACGACTTATATATCACACCTTCCTTGAGCCTCCAAACAAAAGACATGCTAATGCCTTCTTGACATCATCATGACCAAATATTTGAGGAGCAAGCATGGAGCATATATTTTCATAGCAATTACTGTCTGATGCAAACTTTTTGAACTCTTCTATCTGCATAGATAAAGGACACTCTTTGGTAGGGAAAGAAGACAAAATGTAGAAAATAAAGAGAAAACTGCCAAATCATTTTTCTTCATCATTTTGTACAGACGTGCCTTAAGGCTCAGACATAATATTTAATTACTTCTAGCAGTTTACCTCATCAGGAGTAAAGTTTGCTGAACCCCGAGAATTAGCCTCACTTGTGTCCTCCATTCCAACAACCCTTATATAGGGTTGTCTAACAGCAACAGCGCTTTTATTGCTGCAACCAAATAGAAATAAAAATAACTTTAAAATTGAGAAGATGCTTTGGCAGAGATGATGGTGATCCTGATGATCATGACAACAGCAACGATAGAATCATAGATGACACTCTAATGATGTAGTTCACATCATGCAAAGTCTTACGATGTGGATGAATTAGAAGCTTGAAAGATACTGTATATTCCCATCACAGAGAGCCTTGTGCCTGGCACAATAGTTTGCACAAGATGGCGATCTACAGATAAAAGCATGTTTCTTGGCAACTCACCAGTGGGGACATCCTATCATTACAACAATAAAGTGTATTACAACATATAGATCAACAAAAAAATTATCCTAAATGATTATAAACCTACATGTAAGAAGATTCCCTTCACTAAATAAGCACTGACCTCTGGATTCTCCTGCAATTTCAGGGTCTGCTGATCAACATACTTGCTTTTGTCTGGAACAACTATCCATGGATCAATTGGACATTGCTCTTCACCAGCCTAAAAAACGAATAAGCATCAGTGAGTTTACATATGAACAACAATTGTAACAGATAAGAAAATATCAACTGAAATTGTGGAAAACCTGAGGCACATGATCACATGAACGTGGAACAATGGCTCCTCCAAGCCCAGGCCGACAGGGAACAACCTTCACATTTTTGCAATTCCTACATAACAGGGTGACATAAGTTGCCTTGGCCTTGGTCCTTGATGCAGCAATGACAATTCCTGATACCTTAACTAATTTTGAAATACATTGTGCCTACAAATGAATCAGAAAGAGCTTAAGAGAGAAAAAAAATCCTGGGATAGTTTAAAGAAAAAAAGATGATAAAAACCAACCCCAAGTGCACGGATTGAGATTGGATCCTGCTCAGATCTCAACAATATCTGCACTTCCCCAGTCTTTGGTTCTTCCATTTCCCCTCCTTCTCCAGATATCCTTGATCTCAAATCTGAGAGAACTTCAGCTGCCGCAGTTTCAAACTACAAAGCCCAAGCCCATCGATACCACCCATTTTAAAAAGAGAGGGATACAAAATGATGCAAAAAACATATGCCTCAAATTTCCAGAAGAAAATGGACTGTCATGCACATAATTTCTAGTGAGAACATTTTCTTTGGACAGCACACACATGTCAAACATTTGCAAGATATAGGTGCCTCAACCCGGCATTATCGGCACACCAACTCACCCTCATGGTAGTAACACATAGCAATGTAACATGCTCATCTCACTACTTAAGCCACTAGGCACGTTTTAAACAAAGGGGAAGGGGGGGGGGTGATCATACTCAATAATTGGTTAGAATTTTCGCCCAGTTAGTTATTCCTGAAAATTAAAGGGGCAAATGGCAGCAAAGAAAAGGCTGCTGAAGATGAGATATGACAAACACCATACCCCTACACCAGAGTCCCTACTCAATTCATGAAAGTTTTTTATTTTTTAACTGAAACTTTAAAATTTCAAGCAAAGAAAACGCTATTGCAGATGACCCGCTCCCCAATCCAATTTTGTACACTAGAAAAGATTCATTGGGATAGATTAACTAAATACCTGTACAAAGCAAACTGATTCAGCCATAAAGCTTTAATTTCATACAGTTGTTAACATCTATGAATGCCTATGTGCTCTTAATTCTACCATATACTGACGAATTACACAAGAGGATTAAAATTGAATCCGAACAAATCCGTACCAAGGGAAGATAATCGGCAGGATTCTGGCGGAGGAGTTCCGGGAGGGTTTGGTCGCGCTCATAAGAAAGGACGTCGGAGAAATTGATGACGAGGGAATTGCTGTCGTTTTCAAGCAGAGCATCGCGATAAGGGAAGACATTGGGCTGAGTCCTGTCAGGGAAGTTCCTAATGAACTCCTTGAATTTCTGTAGGATTACATGGCGGCTTTTCGATCCCTGGTCGGCGTCGCCAGAACCACCGCCATTTGGGTAGTGCGCTTTGTCGCTGTAAAATATGGCTCCCTCGTCCCATCCCGACATCTCTCTGTCTCCTCTTCTCGCCTCTGTGGATTCCGTTCACTCAAACGCCCGCCGCACAATCGCCGCCTTGAAGGGTTCGTCGGGAAAGATAAGATTGGTGCTGCATCTAGGGTCTGTCTGCCAATAGATCGAGCCACTGGAATTGGCGGGAAACATTTCGGCGGGAATCAAGCGCGTGGGGTGAAGTAACGTCGTTTAATTAGCGACTGGAATTTAAGATAATTTAAGATAGTCTTTTGCCATTAGCATTTTATTTTATTTCATGCATTTTAATTCCAAAGTTTAAATCACAAATCTAAAATGACAATGAAAAATGTATGAATTTCACATTAAGTTCTGTTATGAATGAAAATAATTTGACTTAAATCTAAATTTAAAATATTTAAGTTTTACCAAAACATTAAAATTTGAGCTAAATCTGGATTTAAATATCAAATCTATGTTTCCAAACATACCATCAGATAATTCATCCATCAAAACATGGTTCTTTTAGGATTAACATTTTTAATTAGTGTTTGTAAAACATAAATTAAATGTTGAAATTATCATCATAAAGGTACATTGTTTTTATCTCCAATAGTCCAATATTAGTGAAACACACACTATTTAGGATATCTAAACTATATTTTAAATATAAAAAAATAGGTTTATTTTGAAATATGATTTTGATAAATCAAACTTTTATATTATTAGATTATATTTAATTTGTTGTCAAAGAGTAACTATTTGACCAAAAAAGTTAAAACATGAAATATTTTAGACTAGAGAAAATAATATTCTTTAAAAAAATCCGCACCCCGAACCCCTTATAGTATAGGATAATACTAGGGTGGACCAAGAGGTTTCAACCCGATTACAGTATTGAGCATTCTAATGCTACTACTTTCTCTCTCTATAGTTTTTCTGCGCCCTTCTTGGTTCCCTCCTATTTATAAGATAAGAATCTGGTAGCGAAAATTTGGCGAGAACTTGGAACGATCATGCAATGTTGTTACTGTTGGGAGGTTGCTAGCAGAGTACATGCGTACCAGATGTCGCCTCTGCGTTTAATGTCATGTACGGCCATCATGATGGGTGGTTGAGGCTGAGATGACTGACCCGATCCAGGGTGGTCCTTGCTTGGCACTTGGCTAGTCATTGGGGCGCAAGTCGATCCCGACTAACGCTCGAGGCACCGGTCCACCCCAATTGGCAATCGGGTTAGGTCCGGTCAAGTGCAAGTCCCGCGACGAAAACCAACCTAGATTTGAAATTTTTTTGAAAGCACCAATTCTTTAAGTTATATTTCAAATAAAATGATATTTTAAGTAAAAGTTTTTAGTATTCAATTTGTTCCAAAATAAACTTCCACAAAATGTTACACTTTCAAAGAAGTATTGCACAAAACGCGAAATATCAAATGCTGTTTTTCATAACAGTATAGTTAATGATCAATCACTAACTGCATTGCAATCATTTTCATAGGAAATACACATTAAAATCTCTTCTAATTTATCATTAGAAATCTCGAAATCCTATGCGAAAAAAAAGAAGAAAACTAATTGCATCTTCACATTATGTTAGGTGAACAAATAGTTGAAAATCATGCTTCGGGCAGAAATATGGAGAGACTGATCATTAACGGGACAGGTTTGGGATGAGAGTGATGAGAGGGGTGACTTTGGCATTTTCAAATAATGTTACACACACAATCAATCCTCATTGGGAGCTCTAAAGAACAATTTCTGGCATAGATACATACTCCGTATATAGAAGTAATTACATGGCGCTGCTATACATATCCTAATACATAAACAGGCAATCAGACTAAAAAGAGAAGGTCTAGTGACTGGCTGGCCTTCAAATCAAAGAATTGTACAACACAAGATTCACTTACTCCAAAACATACCCTTCTTTCCTCAGGTACCAAAGCGCCCCTTCAGCTGCATGCTCAGCAGCATCCTTCTTTCTCAACCGAGCTTCTCCCAAGACAACCGCGACTCTAGACCTCTCTTCAATTTCTACTGTAACTTTGAACATGAACCTGGGCACGGAGCAAGTACACACATGATATTCAGTAATGTCGCTGAGGAAGAATCACAAATATTAAAGACCGACAAACATGGGGATGATTGAAGAGACGGACGCCTAGGCACCAGTCTGCAATTTTCGTAGCCATGCAAACTGGTGGAGTAGATGATGCTATTTCATGATTCACTTACTCCTTTAAATGGCTAGGGCCCACTTCGTCATAGCACTCAAACACAGGAGGTTTCCAACAGTTAACAACGCAGATTTGATGCAAACGTGACTTGGCTGTTGCAGTCCGTGAACTCCCTGATATAGTCACGAGTAGGAGAATGCAGTTTGAAGCAGTGAGAGGGTACATGCATTTAAAAACACAAATTAAATTGATACCTCTAACAGGGGAATCTTCATTGCAGCCATTACATCCATCGTCAGATGACATGATCTTTCTCATATGTTTGGCCTTCACGTGCAATTTCTTGGAGAGTATCTCAGAAAGAGGTCTTATGTTGAAGCTATCACTACTTACAGTAGCTTGCTGCAATGTCAGCTCCTTGAATTTTGAAGTGACAAAGCAAGGTACTTCATTATATCCAACCAATCTGGGTTCATTCTTGACAGCACTTTTGAGAACTCTCTCAAGACGTTTAGTCTTGAGTGTGTAGCCTTTAGCCTGCCCAATGATATTCATGGTTGTTAGACGAAAGATTAAAATGTGATCCTTGTTGGAGAAAATTGAGGCTAAAGAAGTAGAATCCAGTTTACCCAGCCCCAGATGCAGAAAATCTCATTACAGAAAATACAAGACAGATTTGGTACTCATTAGAGCTTTGGAAGGTTAAAAATACTCCTTCACCCCAGATTCATGCATGAGAGACTCATGATATCCCCAATTTTGTGAACAGATGCTCTAGCATCTTAAATTTGAACTAAGAAACTAACATGAGCATGTTTGGTAGACCGAATTGGGCGGACCTTACCCCTACCTATAAACTTTAAAAAAAAACTACTGAATAAAGGAAGGATGAGTAAATGCAGCACACAAAATACAAACCCTAGCTAGAAAGGCACCATCTTTGTTACTTTCCAATGAAATTTAACTTTTATTTCCTCATTATTCCTTTTCCAATCAAAGAACCCAAAGATGCTTATGTCTCGCACAAATTGTCATAGCTCCCATGTAGAGCATAAAGAAAGAAAAAGTGTCATGAAATAGTCGGGTGGAGAAACACAATACTCACCCTCAAGAGTTCAAGGGTTTGTTCTGATGCCATTTGTTTGGCAGTTTTTGAATTTTTGTTACTAGCAGATGCCGTAGCGGAAACTTCTTTCCCTTTCACTTCTGCTTCAACTTTACAATTGCCAGCATTCTTTAGTTTTTGAAACTTCAAATCCCATCCATAAAACTGGCAAAGCTCAATAAGTTCCCTTAAAGGATTGAGCTGCAACCTAGAAAAGCAGCTTGTGGGGTCCAGAAAAGAAAGCACTATTTCCCAAACGGAATTCAAATCAAACCCAGTATCAAGAAGAATGGCACCCATACAAGACTCCACAATGTCACCAAGAACCTTTATAAATGGCATTTAAAATTAAAACAATGAATTACAACTTCTAAAGATGTTGCAAAGAAGAAAAATGAAATAATGCACCTGGTTACCTTGGGAAGGTATGGTTTTTCAATCATGCCTTTCTCAGAATCTGAGTTTCCCGTGAAATTGGCATATGCTGTAATTGACTCTTGGAGAACGGATGAATCACAAATAATATGCTTATGGAGGGACTGACGTACAGCAATGTCAGCAAAGGTTTTATTATTGACTGAAGCTGATCTCAAATCAGTGAACTGGCCAGGCCTCAGTTTGGGATAAACGGAATAGAGATAAGATGTGACTAAATAATCTAGGACTGCATCCCCAAGAAACTCCAGTCTCTGTTTGAGAAATTACAGCATCATAAAAAAAAAATTAAAACCTTACAACATTTACAAAAAAATTTACACTTTGGTCCCACGAGGCCATGACAATAAGGTCATTACCACTTTTGATCTTGACTTAAATTTTCCATTTTTGGTGCATGAAAATGGGTTAGAATGACCTCATAGTAGTGGGACAAAAAGGGTGAAAAATAATTTTCAAAATCAATTGAGTAAAATAAAACTACCTGGTAGCAACCACCACCATGATGGTTATAGGAAGGATGGATAAATGCCTGTATAAGCAAACCCTTGTGGACAAAGTGATGACCCAATATTTTTTCGAGAGCTGCAATATCTATTTTATCAGCAAGGGTCATAAACCTTGCGCTTTCAGAGCAGATATCACCAACTTGTGAGACAGTGAAATCGGCCTGGATGCCTATCCATTTAAGAAATGCAGTAGCTGCTTTGAAACCACCATCAACTATAAAGGCCCCAATAAGGGCCTCAACCACATCTGCTATTGTTTTCTTCATCAACCAGTGATGAGATTTGCTGCATTTGACTTCAACATTGGCACCATTCTTCTCGGTGCTAGAAAGCATGTGTATGGTGTCTGCTGTTTGCTCGCTGCATATTACTGGACAAGGACGACCCAGTGCATAGAACTGGTCAGGTTCAAATATATGATCACGAATGTATGCCTGAAAATGGAGATTTAGCTTCATTAATGGATTCCATAGAAGTACTTAATAACATAATGATGTAAATATGTAATTCAAATTTACCAGTAAAATTGCTAACAAGTAACAATGGCAAAACCAATTATTGATGTGACCCATGTGGCCAACAACAACAACAACAACCCAGTTGGATCCCACAAAAGTAGGGTATGCGGAGGATGTGTGTATGCAGACATTGCCCCGACTCAAAAGTAGGGAGGCTGTTTGCCCCGACTCCCGGCTCACGCAACAAAAATAATAAAAGATAATAATAGTAATAAAATATCTCATAAGATACATAAAAAGCAGAGAAAGCACGCATAAAACCCAACGCACATAAAGGAAAAGGACAAACTAATGTTAACGAAAGAAAAGTGCTGCAAACAGAGAGCACCAAGCACATAAGGCATACCAAGCACACAAGTCCAAAAAACTACAACCTCGTCCAAAGTTCCTACCCAACTACTCAAATCTTAGCTCTCCAAACGCTTCTATCGAAGGTCATACCCTTAATAAGGGGCAGAAGTCCCAAGTCCTGTTCAATGACCTGCTTCCAAAAATCTCCCTAGGTCTACCCCTTCCCCTACTCCCACCCAAAAACATAAGCCTCTTGCATCACCACACTGAGGCATCAGCATCTCACAACCACACATGTCTTAACCACCTCAACCTAGCTTCCCGCAACTTATCTTCTACATAGTTGCCATGCCGACATGTCCTTGGATAACCTTGTTTGGAATCTTATCCAACCTCGTCTACCCACAAATTCACCGTAGCATCAGCATCTCCGCAACATGCAGTTGACGAACGTGGGTTTTCTTAAATTCCCGGCAAGCTGCTTCATCCTAGCCGAAATCTTCTTATCGCACAAAAACCATAAAGCCAACCTCCACTTAGCCCAAGCTGCTCCAACACAATGTGCAACATCCTCGTTCAACTACCCCATCCGCCTGAATGACAGAGTAAAGATATTGAAACTTGTCTATCTTAGGCACTCGATGAGAATTAATCCTAACTTTCACCCCTAATTTTGTCTCCCAGCCACTAAAACAACATTCCATGCATTCAATCGTGGTGCTACTCAATCTGAATCTTTTGGATGCCAGAGAAAGGAGCCAAAGTTCCAAATTGTCGTTAAGTCTCTCGCGAGTGTTGTCAATCAACACGATATCATTGGCAAAAAGTATGCACCATGGGACCTCTCCTTGAACTTTAAGTGTCAGGACGTCGAAAACCAAAGGGAACAAGAAAGGGCTAAGAGCAAACCCCTGGTGTAACCCCACCTCTACAGAGAAAGGTAAGTCTTTACCCTAGTTATTGCTCTGTCGTACATATCCCTAACCCCTCTCTTGGCACCCTTACTACAAGAAGCATGGAGTCACAAAACGGTGAAATATAAGCTACGGGAAGCGAGGTTGAGTTGGTTTGGACACGGGATGTATTCAATCGCAATCCATATTGGCAATGAATGGTACATCATTAGTAATACAATTATTATTTGTTCTTATTCCAATACTAGTTCCTCTTATATGCCTTCAATTACCTAGTGGGTGGCCCCGTAGTAGCACCACCAAATAGCCTCCTAATATCATGATTATTTTACATGGCATTAAAGTCTAGTTGTTCCTAGTATGGATTGTACCTTTATATGTGTGAATATCTTCCACTTTTCTTGGAGTGAATATCTTCTTGCAACTAACCTTTACTTCACGACTATTTTCTGTTAGTATTCTATTAAATCTCTTGTTGCTACATTTGTTATATACTTTGTATCAATTCATGACATTCTAGATCCTCTATATAACAAATAGTAACCTTATATTCTATAACCTTTTCCTCTCCTTTTTCTTAGCCTAGGCCAAAATCCCATAAGACTATATTTAGGAAAATTAAATATCCAATGTTCAAGTCTATTGAGTCATAAAGTAGCATGATTATCTCAATCCACTCATTACTTCTCCACACATCATTCCCTAACAATATACCTCATTACCAACTCAGAAGAGTCTTGGTCTTGTATTTAGTCCACCTTGGCCAGAAATACAAGTCAAAAGAGGAGTAACATGCTCAATTTCCATCATCATCACGCTGTCTAATCATAGAGTAAGCCTAATCACTTTTGACTTCTTTCTTTCACCTCCTGGCCGAAATTCCTACCTATATTATACCTAATAAAAAATCGTGATCAAATTTTATAAGTCTTAGCCATCCCCATACCCAAAAGTTAAAGAAAATATCACAAAACATTTAGTTTGACTATCCGGTACCAGTGTTTACTTGTTCTGTTGAACTCTCCCCCTTTTTTGAATATCACAAAACATTTAGTTTGACTATCCGGTACCAGTGTTTACTTGTTCTTTTGAACTCTCCCCCTTTTTTTCTAATAAATGAAATGAAATGTTTTTAACTTAGGTTTTATTCTACATAAAATCTACGAAATGTGCTCACAAGATCATGGTCATATGAAGGAGAAATCGGCCCACAAAAAAAAGGCATGTCTAGTCACAATCCTCCTCCAAACATGAAAGCTTGTCTTGAGGAAGTCCAAGACATTCTAGCATGTGCATGAGGCAAGATTTTAATAGGTAATTGAGGAGATAATATACCTTATTCATCCTTGGTGTTATTCGATAACATATGGATGAATCATGAATGTATCATGGAAAAGATAAACAACGAGCAGAATACAATTCGTGAACTGTATCATGGATTGTCCACAGCCTATTTTTTTATATCCTTGGCTAATCCTTCAATCTTTGAACAAATAAGACATCCCACAAGAATGTGCAAAACGTGAAAAGATCAACTCATGTGAAACAAGGCAGCATTTTTCAAGGAAAACCAAGACTATGGTACATGCTTTTTGCCTTAAGTTTTTCCTCAAAGAACTAATCCAAGGTCCCTGTTTTTTTCAAACTACTAGTTTAAATCCTTAAATTTTTCAATAACAATTGAGGGGTGATGAGTTTACATCAACTTACTCAGATCGTATTTCAAATCATCCATGAAATTCCCTAAGTTCTACGGTTATATCCTAAAGTCCCATCAATCCTTCTTCTTCAACCCCTGACATCCCACCCCTACTCAATCAGATCCACCGGACCCTTTCTCAGTAACAAGATCCCCAACATCACCTTCAACATACAGGAAAAGCTTTAATTCATTCACAGCACTCACAGGCCAGTGTGCCTGAGCTAATCATCCTCCCAGCAAGAGAAAGAGAAGAAATATAGACTATTTTTTTAATTGCATCTTTAAATTTAATTTCATTTTTTGTCTGGGTACATGGATAATGCTACTGACATGAGAAAGAGCGAGAACCATTAGTTCCGATACTGATTTTGTAGTTTTTCCTTCACAAGCAAAAAAAAAATGCCGGTTAAAAATTGCTTATTTTCAAGAATGTTTTTTAAAACACCCCACTCCTAGTACTTAACATAAATGAAAAATCAGCTAGTGAAGAAATACACAAAGAGTCGGCTATAGAAGAAAAGTTGTAAAGACATAGAGTGAACATATTAGAATCATAGTTATCAAGGCGTCGCCTAAGCGTCGCCTAGGCGACGCCTAGGCGTCTGGGCGAGATATTGGGGACGCCAGATTGGTCGCCTAGCTTTTTCCGCCTAGAATTTGAGTTGTCATCTATTAAAACGCATGCGACAGGTCACCTGGAACGATCTGAATCGCAGCAAAGATCCGGAAATTGAAGATATGGTAAAAATGTGAATTCCAATCGTATAATCGTCCAATTCAGGCACGATTCGATCTTTGAAGATGCGATGCGGGTCGGGCGAGGAAGTGAATTTGCTTGCTTTTCGTCGGCTTAATTAAGAGATTGACGAGTAAAAGGAAAAGTAAAAGGAACAAGACTTTGTGGACTTACGACCCATTAAAAAGTAAAAGGAACAAGACTTTGTGGATCGGGTCGGGTAGTTCATACGCCTAAATTTATTTTAGAAAACCTAAATGGGTAGTGGGGGTACTGTACACTGGGAACTACTCTAAAAATTACGGAGTAAAAGAAACAAGACTTTGTGGGTACTGTATCTGCCCTTAATTCATTTATGGAGATGGAGTAGTGGGGGTACTGTACTGGGAACTATTCTGAATATTGCAATTTCTAATTACTCGTACTATTCTATACCTAAAGGTTTTTTTCTTCATTTCGTTTGGTATCTTGATGAGCTGCTGCTTTGAATTTTTTTATACTCCCTATTTATATATTATCAACATTTTGGTACTTATTTTTTTAGTATCACTGTACTATTTAATCATTTTATTTATTTATTTCATACTATGGGTGTTTACATTAGTACCTAAAAAATTATCAATATTGACATATTCCACTCGCCCAAGGGACGCCTAAGCGGGCGCCTAATCGCCTAGGCGTCTGGAAGGTGGTCTAGCGCCCGGCCTCGCCTAGTCGCCGTAACAACTATGATTAGAATGAGAGGGAGAAAGGGAAACAATATAAGCGTGGAAGGCTAATTAACTACCTATTCCATCTATTTACCTGTAATCCACTTTTAATTGCCAGCTTATGAAGGTTGGAATTGTTTACAATGTTTGAACGCCTGTTCGTCAGCTGCCCCTCATCAAGGGCATTGTTCGAGAGAAATATATACCTCCCAACCGAAAACTTAAGGAATGCATCACCAAGCACTTCAAGCCTTTCCAAAGAAAAGTGCTCACCACATTTCTCGGTTGTGATTGCTTCAAGAACCTGGCCCAAATTCATCCAATAACATTGTCAATCTTCAAACATTAACCATGAAAAAAACACCCATAAACTAGATGGTGTTTCAAAAAAAGGTAAACATCCATGATCACAAAGAGGATGAATGAGGTCTCACATGGTCTAAAGTGACATCACCTCCCTCGGGGAAAGCAGCAGCTAGTCGTTCCTTCAATTCGATAGCAACAAGCAAACTTTCAAGTCGGTGCATTAAGGATGGCAAAATTGATAAGGAACTTCCAATGTCTTTTGAGAAACCAAGAATCTTTAGCTGACAAAGTTCTGGAGGCAGTTCAAAGAAGTGCTCTTCTTTTTCACGCAACTCTGAATAAATTGAGAAAACAAGATGTACCCCGTAGTATTCAAGAAGACAACTCAACTATAATTAGTATAACCATTAATTCCATTCAATGAAATGTATCTAATACAAGAGCATACTTTGATTAAGGCAAGCTGGCTGTTTCCAGGCAAGTATGCTCAAGATTCAAAGTTCTAGAAATGTAGTCGTAATTATTTAAGATGCAACTGTATTACAAAAAATTAACAAAAATACTAGTGATGCAGTTTGGCTTCATAAAACCAGTAGTCATTAATGCACTGCTACACCTAGCCTCTACCCATAATAATAGAGTTGTACCTTGGAAATGAACTAAGATAGTCATACACAAAGTAGTAAAGCAACAAAATTTCAAGAGACCCCTAGCTCGAGCATGATACAGCCTTTAATATTGTTGTTGTTGTTGTTGTTATTTATGAGTATTCTTACTATGCCTAATTTCCTAATAGTAGTCTTATTCTTATTTAGTTAATCTTCCTAAATAGGTTCATTATAAGTCACTTATTAGTAGTCTTATTCTATTTTAGTTAATATCATACATAAAAATTCATGTTTCCTAGTATGATTGTGGTTGGTCTCTTGTAAGGGTTTGCCTTTTCATGCTCGCACAATCAATAATAAAACTATCAACAGTCAAACTCAAACCCTAATTTTGCGAAGCTACACATTGATCCCCTCCTTCCACATAAGCAAGGATAGGTATATTATTTTCTTATAAGCTCATTACTACATTAGCAACATGACGCCAATTCCAATTCATTTATCATGACGACTACTCAATCGGTGCTCATTGGTCCAAGACCAGACCGAACCGGACCTAAGACCTAAATCCAAAAAACTATGGACCGAAGACCGGACCTAGAAGATTTCAGTTCTGGCTAGACTTAACATTTATAATCTATCAATGTGAATAATAACCTAAAAAGACAATATCAAAGAAGTATGTAAAAAAATAATTTTTAGAGATTATACCACTATTTAAGATATTTTAATCAAATTTTAACAATACATAATTATTTTAATTAAAAATAAATTCAAACAAACTTCATTTAATAATTGATATTTTGATAGATTGCATGATTATATTATTAAAATATACTTTTAAAAAATTAATATTTCATTTCGGTCCATTCGGTTTGGACCTAAATAATTTCAGTCTTGGATTGGACCGAACCTGAGACCAAAATCTCAAAATATGTGGACCGGACGTAAATCCATTCAGTCTCAGTCCTAAAGGTCCAACTTGGTCCATTTTTTTGGTCCGGATCGAAAGATGAACACCTTAGTACTCATAGTAAGATATATGTGGAGCCCTCAGAGAAGTGCACAATGAAACTTCTAATCTTTAACTTTAATGAAAGGGATGTTTTGTTTGAATTTAGAAAGTTTCCAATTGTTATAGGGATTACTTGAATGCCTGCAAGTTGATTACTTGTTGCAAAGCCATAGTTTTATACCTTTATATACAGCAGCACTTCATAGAACAGTAAAGCATTACCTGCATTCCCCTTCTTTCTTAGTAAATTGTTAGGACAGAAAAGTTGTTTTGCTTTAAGAAGTGGTTGTCCAGGGTACAAGAGATGAATGCCAAACCTATTACAAAAATGCCAACAAATATTATAGAAATACAAATGGATTCCAGCAAATGAAAACTCTAAATTTTCACAAGTCATGCATTTAATTATATCTCATCCATTGTCAATGGAGCTAAATGAGTCATTATTGACAATGTTTAAAGTTGGGTATATCTTTAGCAAGCTTCCATTGGACAAGATTCCACTTGTTAGTTCTATTGATCCACTGGACAAAATTGGGTATATCTTTAACAAGCTTGGTAAAATGTAACACGGAGTATATAATATTGTATGCTCCAACTTGAGGAGCAATGATGAGCTGAATGTGTAAGTTGTAACCCTAACCCTGAATACATAGAATTTTATACATCAAAGAAATACTCTCTCACATACTCTACAGGGGAGTGTTAAATATAGCATATTGTCACTAAACATTTTATCACTTCACATACTCAAGCTTGAGGAGGGTATTAAGTATAACTTTTTGAATATAGCAAACACACAAATTATCTTAACACGTAACAAATGCATATGTGCTTGCCACCAAGCTACTTTAATAAAAACCCACAACTACCAATCACGCGCAATCAACCACCTAGCTACTTTTATCAACTCCAGATTGAAATGCAATTAAGGGTGTTGTGACTTGTGAGCCTCAGAATCTTAGAAATATAATCCATTTAAATTTTACATGAACTAACCGGTTAGCATAGTGTGCCACATGATTTTTGGAATCTTTATACAAGCTGTACCCATCTTTATTCAGAACAATATCAGAGACGAAGAAAAATTTATCCTTGCACGGCATATACACCAAGCTGTTCAAAATGTCATCAAAACTTTTTGGACCATTAGCAAGTTGCAAATGGTTATGAAGTTGAGAAATCTTATCGTCATAAGCATTCTCTATGTTTTTAAAAATTGGTGATGACAAACATCTCCTCACAAGTTTCCAGTCAACAAATGTTGTGTTATCTTCATGCAAATTCAGTGGAAGCAACAGGAAAAATGTTGAACTTGAATCACTAAACGTCTCTCTTTCCAATGCCTTGAATTCTGGAATGAACTCCTCTCGATCAAGAATAACTTTTAGGAACATCTGCTGGAACTGTTCTGCTAAGTTTATCTGGTATAACAGAAAATGTATATTTCAGGAAAGACATTGAATTTGGATTTCAATAAGATGATATAGCGTTACCATACCTCATTGGTGTCAAATTCCACAACACCAAAAGGAAAAAACGCTGTCAATATAGATCTACCATTAGCCAAGTGAAAATCGTGTTTCATTCTTTCAGCATCTCGTGGCAGTGGTGCTTTGACAAAAAGGCCAAACTTCTTATAATCTCTATCAACAGGATTAGGATAAAACTCAATACTATAGGAGTGAAGGCAAACAGGGCTTTCCGTTTCAATCCACGGTTCTTTAAAGACGGCCGGAACGAGCATCTCATGGAGTTCTCTTCGTGAACCCTCATCTACGATACAATTAACCTACAAAAAATTAGAATGTATTGCCAAGAAGACAATTAATTGATATTACTAGTCTCCTTGTCTTACCATCAGAGTCCTCTGAATCCGAGAAGTCTTCCATATTGTCATATTTTCCATTTAGATCTGGTAAAAGATAGTCAGTAAGAGCTCCAAGTTCATGCAATGTCTGGCACGCTTTCAAACAGGCATCCTTTCTAGCTGCTTCGGTTGAAGATTGTGGAGCACCTTCAATTTGATAAATTGGAGCATTGGCAGGTAAGATTATCCGGCAAAGAGTTCCTTCAGTATCCTCAATAAAATAGAATTGTGGCTTGGGATTGAAAAACCTGAAAAAAGAAAATGATTATTATAGCAAAAATCAGTATATTGGGAATCACAAAAGGTAAGTTGCAATTCACAAGATAAATTTTAAGTCCAAGGATAGCAAAATATCTCAAGATCATACTCATCGTGCGGAAGCCTCGAACAATATCTATGAAGCAATGAAATACTTGATGCAACACTGATTGTTGCTCCAGTAGCATCCACCTTGTATGTTCTTTCATCAAAATCATTAAATGTCCCTGGAGATTTTCTGAACTGGATTTCATCATTCATTTTGTCTTCGTCCCTTTTAAAATGATTGATTAGCTGAAGCTCCTTCTTGTTGTCACTACCACAATAAGAAAGTAAGATTCAGAATGACATCATATTAAATTGTTCTTAAACCATAAACTAGACAAGCACCTGTTAACCAAAAAGGCATATTCTGATATTGGCATACGTGCACGGCCTCTTGATTGTATAAAGCTGGCAACAGTTTCTGGAAGATCAAAACGTATTACCAAGCAGCATGTTTGTATATCTAAACCTTCCTCTCCAACCTTGGTTGCAATTAACAGATTGAGCTGGTATAATACAAAGAAAGAGTTATGAACAAAATCAGCACTGTGCAGGGAGGCATGAGAGAGAGAGAGAGTGTGTGTGTGTGTGTAAAAAAAGATCGCAATAAGGTTTGTATTGATGAATACAACAGCATTACCCTAGTGCCTCAAAGGCTACTGCCCATTGTGGGGTGAGGAGGGTCGGACAACCTACCCCTATGTTTAAAACATAAAGCGGCTGTTTTCAGATGACCCATGATGATTGTCAAAAGTTGCATTGACTAACTACTACTTCACTATTAAAGAAGCACAGACAGTTCGAAGAACCATTTTGTATGGATGAATACAACAACATTAACAAAGTGCCTCAAAGGCTCCCGCCCATTGCTGGGTAAGGAGGGGCAGATGTACACAATGTGACCGCTAAGTTCAAAACACAAAGTGGTTGATTCTAGATGACCCATGATGAGTGCCGAAAGTTGCATTGACCAACTGCGAAAGTTGCATTGACCAATTGTTACTTCACCATAAAAAGAGGAGTAGACGATATTAAGAGCCATATTGCATTATATCAAATCCCAAAGCCAAAAATACTAAATCTTTGGCTCCGTCGAAGATTATGGAAACTTTGTATGGATGAATAACCTATTTAATCACATATAGTTGCATTGTGAGGCTTTTCCAAAAAAAACCTATGCCTCTGAACTTAGAGGCTTACTTAGTGTATAAACTTTATGTTAGAGGTGATGAAACAAATATGATGAAGATAAGTGGCGAGAAAAAAGAATTTGATTTAGCTTGATAAGAAAGCAAGTAAAAAATAACGTAAGGATAAGCCATTATTTTACCCTATTCATATACAAATTCATGATCTCAATTTAATGTTTTGAGTGTGCTTGGCAATCCCTAAGACTATTAAAACAACTACATGAGGTCGGGCAGGGTATACTATGGTGGCCAGGAAGGGTTGCACGTTATGAGGCAATACCTCACCCGAGCGGAATTTATCAAGAATGGCATTTGTATGTTTGCGTGACATGTTCTTCAATCCTGAGTGGACCCCAACAAGAAAACCGCACTTCCATAAAGATAAAGGCTTTAGATTCTGAAGTATAGATGACAAAGATCTGGCAGTCACAATCCTATTCACAAAAATTATGCATTTCATCTTCGGTTGAACCCTAAAAAAGAAAAAGAAAATAAATCAGATGAACAAACAAAAAATGCCTTCCATGAAGTAGTTTAAAATAATAAGCAAGAGAATCATAGTATTGCCCAAATAACCGAAGCATGTGTAAAGCTTTGAAATAGTTCCCAACCTCATTGGTAATACTTCATAAAAAGTTGGATTCGGGGCACAAGGCTTTCATGTCCTATAGATGCAAAAAAAAATATAGCTTGCTTTCCAAAAGTAAAGCTTTTGAGGCTTGAACCACATTTCACTATTCGTTCATGAGAAAGTTGTGGCTTGCAAAGTTGCGGCAAGGAAAGCATCCAGTGTAAAAATATCATTATCTGTTTTTCGCATGCAGTTTTAACATAAACTACTTTTAGACAAGTAATTGACACTTGAAAATTGCCATCACCCCAAGATAGTTGGAACTAAGGTACCGATCATGATGATACAAGGGCCTCATTTAAAGTGCAAAATGCATACCTTCTGGTAATAAATTAAAATAGAATAGCAGTGATAACAAAACAGAACTTTCAACTGATACAGAGTCCAAAACAGTCGCTGGAACCCCTCATTTTATGGTGAAACCATTTCTCAATTTTCCTTCCTATTTACTCTGAAAATATTGTTCCAACAACAGCAATAGCAACAACAAACCCAGCATAATCCCAACGTTGTTGGAGCCTGGGAGGGTCGCGAGATATCATATATGTAACCTCAGAGTGTTTCCGTAAGACCCTCCATGCATTTACTGCCCTAAACTTCATAGGTTGTATGAGGCAAAGGAAGTTTGGGGTGAAACTTTGATTTATTTCATTATTTACCTTAAGCTACAGCGTATGTTTTCTTCAAGTGGCCCTTGGCGAATGACAAGAATTGAACATGTTTAACCCAATTTGTTTCAAATGAGTTGAACTATGTACCATTAATAGCGTGTCTAACGAATCTATCCGTCTAAGTCTCAGAGGAGTCGAGGACAGGCCGATGTCTAACGAGGCACAACTCTTAAAAATCATGTAAAAACAAGAAAAACTAGCACAAGAAAAATCATGAAATATGACTCGCTTTTGGGACAAAAATCTTGAAATAGGACCCTTTTTATAAGGTGGAGGGAGGAATTAGATAGCATGATACTATACTTAGATATGTGGGTTAAAACTAATTCCATGAGTTTTGAAAATTTATGGTACATTGCATTTGGTAATTATAGTAATGAAAAGTTAGCTATATATTCAGATTTGTCATCCCCTTATCAATTAAAACTCTATTATTAATTTCTTTGTCATTAGGGGAAAAGAGGATTTAGATAAGCGGGACAGTAAGGGTAAAGGAGGAAATAGATGGCCACAAAAAATGAGAGTTCTAGGTGTGAAAAGAGAAATTAGAGTTATAGGTGTGAAAGGAAAGAGACTGGGTGCACTAGAATGGGTCTACTGAAGACCTTAGGAAGTGCCAACAATTCGGTGTAAGGGAACAGCCCACCTAAGCAGACTAGTCAGAGAAAGTTCTGACATCTTCCCTTATGTACTTCTGATAAAACAATTTCTCAAATCTTCGTCCTACTAGAAAGAAATTAATCAGATAGCCTTTTTAGTAGTACATGACAAATATAGTCATACATTTTAAGTAACTAACTAGTTAAGGATGCATTCAGCATTTTTGTTTTGTTTCCTGTTTTTTTGTAGACGAAAACACTATTGTGAAAACAAGAATATTTGTTTTCAATTTTTTGGATGACAGTTTCCAAAACTAACATGATTAGTGCAAGAAAAACTGCATTTTTTTTGTTCATTATAGCACAACAACAACAACAATAACAACAATGTCACTAAAATCACGCAAAAAGTAGGGCCTGGGAGTTGCTAATTCCAAGAGGCCCCATATTCAAACACAGAAGCAAAGACCATGTACACACACTAGCACGAAAAAAGTAAGAGCACATAGACAAGAAACACACACACCGACACTAGCAATGGGACCCCAAAACTATACCATACGTAGTATAAAATTTAAAATCATAAAGCCAAATACTAAATATTGGAGTTATACTGAATGAACCCTTAGTAAATAGTACTTCCTCCGTCCAGGAAAGATCTTCCCAAATGCCCTTATCTTACCAAATGCCTTTTTTTGGCCGGAAAAGATTTTCCCATTACCTTTCATAATGTTTGAAATACCCCAACTACCCTCACTTTCTATATTTATTACACCGCACCCAATACTCCACCCACTTTCATTAAGGGTATGTTGGTAAACTTTCACTTTTTTCAACTCTCCTTAAAACCCGTGAAAAGTTCACTCGGAAAGTTCTTTCACAGACAGAGGGAGTATTTGGTGATTAAAATTATTATAATTTGGTCAATTATAGCCAATTTACCATTTGTGACTGAATGCCTTTATATTTTCACAAATATAACTTAACATGGATGTCTTTAAAATGATATACAGAGTATGTTTTGCCAGTCATTAACTTTAATACAACTTTCATCCAATTTTAGGTGTCTTACACTCCTACTCATACTACTCGTACAACAAAGCAAGGCTTAAATTACTTTTAAATTATTTATTGATTTTTGCATTATTTGAATCGTTGTTTGGAAGAAAAATGTACTCCCTCTATCCCAAAATGAAGTTCTCATTCACTATTTACACAGTCAACCTTTATCCATATTTTGCCCATAGTTTGTAAGGCGTCGCCTAGGCATCGCCTAGGCGATAAGGCGCTGTCACTGGGATGCCTTGTCTGCTCGCTTCGCCTAGAAAACCTTAAGGCGACCAGGCGCTCGCCTAGGCGTCGCCTTACCTCGCCTTGATGCCTTGGGCCCCTTTAAAATTTTGAAAAATCCCATTTTTTAGTGCAGCCCTTTTTCTTTTAGTGTAGCCTAACAGACTTAAACTTATCTTCTCTCTCTCTCTCTCGGTCTTCTCTATCAAGCTTCCTTAAAATGTATAAGACCTATATATACATATACAAATATATGTGTGTGTGTGTGTGTGTGTGTGTGTGTGTGTGTGTGTGTATGTATGTATGTATATATATTTATATGTATGTATGTATGTATGTATATAGGTATGTATGTCGCCTAGTCGTCGCCTAGGCGTGCGCCTAGTCGCCTAGGCGATATGAAGGTACATTGGCGCCTCGCCTTGCCGCCTTACAAACTATGATTTTGCCGGTTTTCATTACTAATTGGATAAAATAATATATTCATGTCACATAAATTTTATTATTTAATTCCACACCAACTTTCAAATAATTAAAATGAAAATAACTTCATACAAAAATCATAAACTGATCCAGGAACTACATTTTGGGATAGAGGGAGTATTTATTTAGAGACAACATGGAAAATGCTACTTAACAATATAATACTACCCCCATACTTAAATAAACTTCATTCATTATTCACATGGTCATACTACACCATCATTCTTTACAAATTTACTTTAATAATTTGCTACAATAAAGAAGTATTCCCACCACTTGTTTTATAGAACATTTGATGTAATTTTAAGAATACAAATTTTTTTTTATAACTTTACACCAATATCTAAATGATTTGATATAAAAAATAACTTTGGTCAAACATAGTACACCAAACTGTGAATTTTATTAAGGGGCATAGGGGGTATATTTTAAAATTATAAAATAATGTCAAAGAATATAAACAGAGTGACAAAAGAGAAGCGTAACTACGAGATGTAAAGTGAGAGACCAAGTAACCTGAACCGACTAATTAAATAAGCCATTTCAATCTTGAATTGAATACTAACCTAAAATCGGCAAGGATACGAATGAGTCGTAACATCTTTTTGGAGAAAAAAGGCTCTTCAAGGGCCTCCAAACATGTCAAATTATCTGTAATCAAATCCACACAAAAGATAAATCCTTACATCCAACAGATTTGGAAAAAAATCACTAGGTTAAGGTGGTCATCAAAAAAATGAAAGCATGTATGATATTTCACTTAATGTGAAATCCATATGACATGGCATAAACTGCCAGAAACAGGAAGCCACAGATAATCATAAACACCTAGGTTACTTAAGTATTTAACATTTCAACATATAGCGTACCTCTTCTACAACCAGAAACAAATATTGCAGCAGCGGGAGTTAGGTATCTATCACATATGAAGTTGTCGATGGCGTTCCCTTTTGGCTCATAATTATTACCTTTATTTAGAACACGGCTAGCCTTTGCACATAGCAGAAAGGACAAGTGTTAAAGCCTCAAATAATATTGACTAGCAATGAAAGATATGTGGTGGGGGGGATTTAGTAAAGAAGGATGGGGTAGTTCATCACTAATGTTGGATACTCACCTACTTGATGTAGAGAACCAAAATAAAATTCTCATGTAAACTTATGTGTGAGGTGGCTAGAGCTCCAACCACTGGTCACTAAGCAGTGCCTGAATTTCCCAATTTGAGCCTAGTCTATTCAAAAATCAGTTTGTGTGCCTAGGTGTCTAGGAAGCCCATGCTTCTCCTATCATGAGTATATATTTTTTGCTAAAAGGATGTTTTTTATTTAATTGAATTTTAAATTATTAAGCAAGAAAAGCTCGAAGGCTTGACCATTTTTAGAACATTTGGAGATAAGGACCAAAATTCAGTCCTTGGACAAAATGAAAGATCTTGATAATAGATAAGCTAGGTTTCGGGCTTGAAGGTCTAAGTTTAAGCCCGGACCGAACATATGTTTCACAAATAAACTATATATATGTATGTGATAAAGAGATATGAAGTCTCAATTGGAAATGCCAAGACCACCATTATTTAGAACTAATCAAGGCCTTAAACTTGCTAAAACTATTAAACTTGTTTGATTTTGAAATTTGGAGTGAATGGAATCTCGTTATTCTAATTTCCTTTAAAATTCTGGATCAATGTAACTCAAAATTGTGTGACCTTAGGTCGGGCCTTTGTCACATTTTAAAATTCTAATTTACATTTTATTTTTGTTTTGATCTAAGATTTGTAGTTTAAGGGTGCAAAACTTTTTGTATACCAGTGTTAAATTTCATGTAAAAAAGATACACTTAAGAGTTTTTTCAATAGAATCAAGTGCTAAGCCAAGAGCAGTTACACTTCTGAAGTCACAATCCATAATATAAAGTTGATGGCAAACACTTAAAATTGTGTTTCATTGAAGTAGAAGCTCAAAAGCTGATTTCAAACTCGCTCCCAAACACCCTCTTATCAATTTTTTTGAAAGCGGAATATATATTATTTACCAGTATATACTAAAAGTGCAACTTACAGGTTGTGCATCAAAGTATTAATCCTAGCATTACAAGGGTATCCAAATTCAAGCAAGGCATAAAAAACTATAGTTTCAAATTGTACACTTTCGCACCGATATTAAAATTTACATACCAATAAAAATAATCCTTGAGCCAAGAAAAATATGTCTAGCAATAACATAACCAAAAGCATGAAATAAAATATTTGGGCCACAGTGATAAAATTTCTCTTGTAAAAATTTATAAAAGAAATACACAGTGGGGGTAATGCATCAATATAATAAGCATGGAATACCTCTAATGCCCCCCAAAGGCCTAGGTTTTCAAGACAAAATATCAGATGTGAATGCATCCTTCTAAGCAACCTTTTAGTGTTCATAAGAGTAGACTGATCACCAATTCGCTTGTGCAACTCTGATACAAACTGTTGTAGCATATAAGTAATCAGTCCAAGTTCATTCAGATTATACTAATTCAAAAGGATCTCATAAAATACCTGGTGCTTTAGTGTCTCAAGTTTATTAGAGTATGCCATAACAAAACCCTCTGTGGTTGAAGTGTAGTAGTAAACATTGACTTTTGGAGATGCCACAAATTGGCACAGTTCATCCACACATTCAACTGAATATACCTATATTGAAGACAACTACTAACTATTAACAAAGTCCGCAAGCCCAGTCCTACACAATATATCATTTTAATTAAAGATGACACAGCTGCATTGCTGAACCCAAATGTGTGAAATTAACCGCTTGACTTTGAAACTATGGTACTCCATACTGATATTCCCTTAATGGTTAAACGAACCCAACAAAGAACACGTATGCAGATTTTAAGTGTACCTTGGCACGTAATACCTTCTCGAGACCTTCAATGGACGCACCTGAAAATATAAAGGCATTTAGTCACAAATGGAAAGATTCTCCAGGATAAGAGGTTATAGCTTCTAACTGTGCAAAAAGCATGCTCCTGGGAACATGAGAAACATGTAGCAAAGCAAGAAAGAATGCAAAATGTGCACACATGCACACCGAAAAAAACTAAAGTCAGCAGCTTATACTTCTGTTTGGCAATGTCCATAAAAACAAGGCCTGATCAAGCCTGAAATGTCTGAACTCTTGAAAATGATCAATTGTCTATTCTCTCAGACAGCCATGTCATAAAAAATTCTTAACCAAAGAATAGTAATCATTTTCATTCTAAGCAAAAATATGATAACAAGTAAATGAGTAGTAAGAAGCAACATATGTGACTAGTGACTACTGAAAATAGACAGCTTAGATAACACTAGCACATCACACCTCAAACATTCAACAACAAAATAAAAAATCTCACAGAGTGTGGTCTGTGAAGGGTGTGTGTGTAGGACTGTAGGCAAACATTACCCCTACCCAGAAAGTAGAGACTAGAGAGAGTGTTTCCAAGAGACCGCCGGCTCAAGACCTCAAACATTCAAAATGCCAAAATTTATTTCCAACCCACATTATGAAACAAAGAGTTGAGAATGCATCATAAGAAAATTGAGATGAATCCAAGCACGCAAGCGTGCCATCAGATCGCATAAGGACCAGGCAAATGCATCATAAGAGAATGGAGAAGAGACAATTAAAATGTGGTGGAGATTGGGACCATATCATGGTAAGGATTAATATGTATGGAACTGAAAACTGTTTCCCCTGCCAAGAAATACGATGCATAGGTAAAAATTGTAGGATGAGTTCATGACCAATTCATTTACCTTTCCCTAATTTGGGAGATGCTGTCATGCCAAATATCCGGGGTAATTTTTCTGAATCTGATTTGTAAAATATCTACCCAAGATTTTAGAAAAGAAAAATCATTAAGATGAACTACTTAATAAAAATCATCAATGTATTACCATTAAGAAATACCTTCATAATCTCAGCGTAAGGGTGACTGCTTTCAATTTGAGCATAGTGGCACTCATCGAAGATAAGAAGAGTGATTATTTCCATTTTAATAAAGCAGTGGGAAAGATTATGAAGCAAGATTTGAGGGGTCATAACAAGGACCTGTAAAAGAAAATTAAAGGGTTGGTAAAACACCTATAGATCCAAACATAATAGAAAATGTTTGTTTTATTTCAAGTATCAACAGACCTAGAATCATGAAGCACGCCATATAATTGAAGGGTATGGGTTACATCAGAAAAATGGATTGTCTAGAGCAGGGTTAACACAGCTTACTAACAAAGGCTGTTGTTTATATACTTATACCCAAGGAAAATGTTATCAGGGAGATAATGCCATAGACAGATTAGGCTAACCTCATATTGCTCCAATTCCTTTTGCCAGTCATGATAGTTTTTTAAATGCTTCAAGCTCCCACAGTATGTCCCAACTTTAAAATCAACTGAGTCTTCAATGACCTTGGCTTGCTTTTTGAGATGAAAGACAAAGCAAAGCACTTCCAGATTATGATTATACAACAAAAACAACAAAGCCAGAGTAATCCCACGAGTGGGGCACAGGAAGGTAGGATGTACATAGGCCTAAAATCTACCCATGAGGGACGGGGAGACTGTTTCTCATAGACCCTCGGCTAGAAGAGCCTAAAATCAAAGTATGTTGGCAAGGAGAGACACTGAGAGAGAGAGAGAGAAGCAGCATGACATGAAACATTACACACATTCCAGTGCACAAAGAACAAATGTCAATGTCTGCCCTTAAAAAACCATTGAACACACAAAAATGAGATGGAAGAGCTAGCCCCCGTTTCTCAAACCATGGTGCCAAAGACTAAGCAATCTACTACCTTTCTAAGTTATATCCTAATCCTTGGCTGCCAAAAATTCCTACCCAAGGCCATGTCCTTGGCCAACGTGAGTTTTGCCTTGTCTGGTCTAATAACCTCCACCCAATTTAGCCATGTCTTGTCTTACTATTATGAGGATTTATGACATTAGAAAATTATGGAGCGAGGAAAACTATGCATAATGGCATATGCATCTACTCCAAAGCTAATGCTTTACAGGTAAAAAAAATCAAATTTAGAATACGGCAAATTCATCTAAGATAACTAGTATGCATCATGCCATAACGCAAAAATATCCGCATGAAAGAGAAGTGCCTGGGAATGAACTTCTGAGAAGATCAAACCATTGGCTCGTCAAGGGTAGCTCACAAATATGCACCAAGTGCCTAGAGCCTATCTCACATAACAGCGCTCGAATCTGTCCTGCCAAGTTTGGGCAAGGTGTAACAAGTGACACGGTTATTTTTTGGCACAAAACCTTATTTATACATTTTTATCTGAATTGGAACTTCCCTGCTGCCTTGGATTTCAAGCATGTTCCCAGTAAATGTTGATCTTAGTTTAATTTATTCCAGCGCAGGTTGCATAATTTGTAATGCTATGTCTTGAAGATGGGATGTCAATCCCTAATGTTTCTAAGACTTCCAGAGATGAGCAAAACAAAAAAAAATTACTCCCTCCTTTCCAAATTAATGTGCCAATTTGACTGGGCACAGTTTTTATTAAGGAAAACATGCACCTTAAATCAGGATGGAGGAAGAAAGTAAAACAAGCAAGATAAATGGGGACAGATGGAGTAATTTGTACACATAACTGCAAATCTGAAGACTTATACTCCCTATGTTCCTCCTTAAAGATCTACTTGACCAAATCACACAGTTTAATGCATTAAGGTGATATATTAGTCAAAATTCTAATACTTAATCTAAAATGACATCATTGACACGCTTCCCATCGCCCCATCTAGGAAAAAGGGAAAATTACATAGTATGAGCAAAGTTAATTGGGAAACAATATTTAATGTGCATTATTTTCAAAAAAGGAGCAAGAAAAATTGATCAAACTAATATATAAGAACACAAAGGGTATATGCATATATAGGGATCCAAGTATCTCAAAGACATCATCATTTTCCACTTAATCCCAACTATGTTGGGTCAATGTCATAAAACGTACTCCATATATTGCCAAACTGCTAACTGATTGTCTAGAATTAGATAAAACTATATATTCATGCAAATAAATGCATTGTGGCAACGTTTTGCATCAAATGGCCTTCCTTTTACAATCATCTCTGAAGGAATAATGAAATGATTTGATAAAAAATCACCATAATAGCTGTTTTCCACATGCATGGAAAATATCATATGTTGACAATGATTTTAGATACTTGTTATATTTATGTCGCATTCAAAGATTGGTAATGTAAAATAAACATGCACATCATGGACCATTGAAAGGACATATTCTATAAAACTTTAAATCGGAAGGAAACCTGCTCAACCAAAGCCACTGTTGGAGCAAGAAAAACGCATACATTCTTCTGGGGTTTTCGAATCAAGTGGGCCATCTCGTACATAAGCAAAACAGCAACATGTGTTTTCCCACAACCTGTTCCAAGATATATAACAGCATTCTCTTTTAGAGCTTTCTCACACAGATCAATCTGGTACCTGTGAAGATTCAATTCAGCATATTTATTTATGTATACTATGACTGGCATGGCAAAATTAATTGCATTAAATATTTAATGACTCGAACTTTTGTCCAAAAGGTTGTCACTTACAACAACAACAACAACCTACCAACTAAAGTCACATAAGTGGGTTGGGTGTACGTACAGCTTACCCCTGCCTATGCAGGTAAAGAGGCTGTTCTAACAGGTTGTCTCTTACAAGCTAATAATATGTTGGGCAAGTTCTCAATCCAACATTATTAAAGCATGACATGTTACAAGATTAACTGTCAAAAAAGTCAATTGTTAACATGGTTTCTCCCTGCTTTAAACTACAAGCAGAAGATAAACAAGGACAAAGAGGATCAGCCCATGTTATAAGGAACACATAAGGCTTGGCAGTTGACACGGATAATTAATACGGAGTAATTATTAATTAAACTTCCAAAACATTCAAGACAGTGCAACAACAACCTAGTTGTATCCCATAAAAGTAGGATATGTGGGCATAATTCCAAACAAAATGAAAAATCACATTAAAGGTATATTACACAGCAAACAAAATAAGTAAATTGTTGAGAATAGATGTTATCTGAAAAGGTTGCAGACATTAGCTTAATGGTGTAAAGCAAAATAGGCGCCAAACCCGTTAGTAGGGCTAATGGTGTGAAACATAACTTCATCACAAATTTGAAACTCGTAACAGGAAATGGAAGTATAGAACTAATCAATTGTATGCTAAATTCAAAATGCATACTTTCTGGCGACTCTTCTGGGGTCCTTCACGGGGTTGGATTCCCCTACGGTGGCCTCTTCGTCGTCATTCAGCGACAATCCCCAAAGCTCGTCGTCATTGGTGAAGGAAAGCCGGCGTGACGTGGAGCCTCCCGGCGGTTCTGGTGTGGTGCCATTGTTCCGGCCATCGCCGTTCATGGTAGCGAGCTGGAGTCGCGGGCTCCTGACAGCCGCGGCCAGTCACCGAGAATTTTGACTTGATTAGACTCAGACTGGAGTCCAACCCGTCCGAATTCTGGATTGCTTCCTTTCCTGGTCTCCTGGGCGCCGGGCCGACTTTTTATACTCCGTATAATTGTTATTCCGTACTCCGTCGTCCGTACGAGTATTTTTCTAAGGAAGGAGTATGAGTATGAAGAATGCAAGAAAGGTAGCCAACTAGCTACCGGGGCCGGCACAAGGGGGGGCCAACCCAGAGTATATGTGTATATTTAATTACTCCATCCATCTGAAAATGTTCTTCACATTTGGTCAAAATTTATAAATTTTGACTACGATTTGTGGAAAAAACACATTGCATTTTAATGTAAATTTAATATCAATATATTCATAGTGAAACGTAGTTTTCAAATATCAAATTTTTATAAAATATATCTATGTATAAATATAGATATTAATGGTCAAAGTGCAATATTGGAGACCGTGAAAAGTCAAATAAAAAGAACATTTCTGGACGGAGGGAGTATAATACTCCATATAAAGTAATGTAATCTTGTTATATGATTTACAATAATGTCAATTATTGATTTAAAAAAAATATTTTATATAATATAATTTGTTGAGAAATTATTATTTAATTTGTTTTGTCCAACACCTTCAGAATTTTAAGACCCACCCTGATAGCCACCTCAAGCAAAAATATGTAACCATTTTTTTAACTTTTTATTTTTCCTCATCATAAAATAGATGAAAAATAAATTTGACAGTGAAAGTTTGTTCATCATTTCAATACAGATATTCTTTGTAAAAAAATAGGTGTAACAAGTCATTCCAGTGCTAGAGCTTCTAACATCTAATAGAGATAAAATTAACCACCGTAAGTTATAATTATCGATTGATCCAATCATGATTTTAACCGCTGCAAGATAGACAGGAGTTTTTCTAAGATAAATATTTTGATATTTTATGTGCCAAAAAATGGCGAACAAAAGAATTAAAAGTTAATTCTAAAAATTGAACCGAAAGTAGAAAAAATGGTTTTTTAAACTCAAGTCCCGGGAGTCCCGAAGTCATAAGCTTTGTTAAGCTTAAGTTAGACTCAATCTTCAGGCTCTGTTTAGCACTAAGTGTATCGACCCCGAATACTTGGTCTTAGCTCTCTGAGCCTGGGGACCCGGGCACTATGACTTGGCTTTAAGCCCAATGATCCCATGTTTTGAAATTTGGCATTGTGCTCGACTCTGAGCAAATGTCCTTGAGACTAATACAATAATACTCGACCCTGATCATTTGTACTCGGCATCAACCTCCCGTGTTTGGCCATCCAACCAAAACTCTTCTACCCATACATTTGCACGTTGGTTTCAAATATGTCCATTTTCTCAGAATAAACTAGTCATAAACCTCTAATTTAACTAATGAAATTTGAATATAAACAGTGTAGCTTGTAATTGAATAACCATTAGTATGGTCATTAGTGGAGTCATTAGTGACAATCAATATGAGAATTATTATTGATGTTAATGTTGCAAAGGCTATCTAAATTAATCAAGCCTCCTTGTTGTCTCAAAGAGACGTTGAGTGAAATAATTCCACGTTTTGAAAGCTTAAGAGATATTTAAAAATTTTATTTTTTTCGGAAACGATAGTTTTGTCGTAGTTATCGTCCACTGACACAACTCCAGATTGTACAACTAAGTTGTGCAATAACAATTTTTTCTTGGGAAGAGCGTCTAATGTTAAACATATCGAATCAGTACTTAGATTCTCTAGAAATCGAGTAAGCACTTACAAATTGAAACTATCTGTTGATTCACAGGATTTTTTCAGTCGGATACAATTTAGAGAGAACTATATTTGTTATAAGCAAAATTCGTGATGATTTTCAAACTTATCGATTTTCGACCAAACTGCAAGAATCTTAAGAATCTTATAGAAAAGGGGAAGAAGAATAAGTTCCGTTCGCAACTCCTTCCAACAATTGTGTCTAATCGAGTGAAGTGATAAGATGAGCTCGTTCCAATTTCATTTAGTACTCAATCCGAAAATAAAAATTCAATTAGGAGTAAATTTTTAACAGAATTTTGTCTAAAAAAAATTAGCACTGTCATCTCCTCCAAATTGGTCCCTCACATTTGGAGTCAATTCAGAGGGAAGACAGCCGGCAATTCAACATCCCAAACACAACACCTCCACAATACTCTCCCCATCCCGGTGCAGGCGGTGTCGATGGAGAGGAAGGTGGTGGAAATGGAGGGGAAGGTGGAGAAATTAGAGGTGGCAGCGATGGAGACGATGCACTGTTCATGTACGAACTTCTCCTACAAATTGTTTGAATCCAGACTAGATATCACTCCTCCCTCCCCACCTCCACAATATTTTATCTTCCCTTTACTATATTTTCTAGAAATTCATGATAAATGACCAGTTCATACTGTTTTGTTTGGGGTGCTCATACTCTAGGGATTAATAACATTTCCAAAGATTATTTGGCTGTTTAAAGCTCCATAACATCAACGCGGGATGAGCTCAGAAGTAGAAGTGGTTGCAAAATTCATAGAACAGTACTCTTTCCAGCAAGGGCTAAAATCGCCATTACCACTTTCGTCCTGCCCGGCCTGTCTTGCAAACGCAGGCATTTTCGGAGCAGGTAGGGTTTGAGATTCATTACTGAGCATCGAGTAAACCTCCAACATTGACGGCCTGTCTTCCCATCTCTCCTGAACGCATAGCAGAGCCACTTGCAGGCATCTCTTCATCTTGCAAGGCGACATAGCGTCGTCCAATGACGGATCCGTGAACTCCTCGCTCCGGTCAGTCTTCCACATCTCATATGCCTGAAATATTTTTGGTTACTTGTTAATATTGTATACTCCGTATTTAGATTCTGAATTGGCCAGAAACTTGTAGATTGGGGTTATTATTGATCACCTACATATTCTAGAAGTGTTTGATTCTTATCTGTTCCATATGTACAATCATTCTTCTTGCCACTTATGATTTGTAGTAGCAGAACTCCAAAGCTATAAACGTCATATTTTCTGGAGTATATACCCCCTTTAACATACTCGGGTGGAACACATCCGCTGAATTACAAAACATAACTTGATTAGAAGTATTGAGGTTGTGTGAATCAAAAGTGATTTTACTTCTGATTAATGAGAGAGTATACATCTTGAGAGTTAGAGTTCAAGATCATTAGTCCAATACAAGAGATTTATCTACAAAAAACATCAAGCAAGGAACATAGAGAATCACAAATACTCCATCTGTAACATAAAAAGAGTCCAGTATCTCGACAAAAAAGTGTGCCTTCTTAAATTCGGACTTTTTTATGGGACGGATGCAGTAAATATTATTCCTAAGAAGGAGTGGGCGGAGGTGGGTGTAGGGGGTTGCAATGGCTGTGTGTGGCCAAGTTGAAGGGATTAGTTTACTTACTATGTCCCGATAATCCGTCCTGTATTTGCTTGATTGTCTTTAGTACAGAAGATCTTAGCAATACCAAAGTCTGATATTCTCGGCTTCATCTCATCATCCAACAAAATATTGCTAGCTTTCAAGTCCCTGTGAATCACTGTGAACGCAGAGTATTCTTGAATATATATAAGCCCTTGAATAATCCCTTTGATGATCTGAACTCTTTTCTCCCAATTTAACTGCACCCGCTTACTTGGCTCTACAATAGATAATCAAATTGGTGACTTTATGAAGCAAGATTGATATTTTTGATGCTAGTATAGTGATGATTATATAAAGACCGTATATGTGGCAGTCCAAGCTCTTATTTGGCATGTATTCATATACTAGCATCTTCTCTTCTTTTTCACTGCAAAAACCCTGAACTCTTAGCAGATTGACATGCTGTAACTTCACTGAAAGTGTAACCTCATTTTGGAACTCCTCCACTCCTTGCACAGAGCTTTGGGAGAGGCGTTTAACTGCAATTTCTTGTCCGTTGGGTAGTTTACCCTGGATAAAGAAGCATGCACGATTCAAATGGTAACCCCTCTGCTTAAAAATAATACTCCAATAATCATGTTTCACACATCGTTTTGGTAAAAAAAAAGTATTGAGCGAAAAAAAGAGATGCACATGTCTCATATATAAAATTTTATCCGCTGTTGATCAGATATACACTCATTTAGCCATTTACATACAATAGTGGTGATTGATATAATTCAGTAATTGAAATTTCATACATTTCAGATTTCAATGCTGAGTTGGGAATGATAAGCAATTTTATATTGCTTCGAAGGCTAATCACCTTATAAACAGGCCCGAATCCACCCTCCCCAAGTTTGTTTTGTAATGAGAAATTGTCTGTGGCTACTTTCATTTGAGCAAAACTGTAGATTTGCAGATTACCATCTGCTGGTCTCTGATTTAACTTTCTGTTCCCTGTAAAATATTGAAATCAGAAGATCTTGATATAACGAGTTAAGCTGTTGAAACTAAATAGTGCCAAAGTACCTGAGTAGTTGCCTTTTCTTCTTACGGCGTTCCTTGTTACACAACATATTGCAACACATAAGAGGAAAGCACCCATAGTGCATGCGGGCAGTAAGATTGCCAATTCACTTCCCTTTGTGTCATGCTCACCATCTTTTGTGCCCTTAGCTGTGAAATTAGTCACTATTATATGAACGTTTTTGTAGTTTTTGAACCATCTATGCTCAAGAATTTGTGGATCTATGTAACATTGTTTGCTCATTTGCAATGACTAAAAATATTTTTTTCTAAATAAGTACTTCTCTCTGGCTAGCTAATATACTTATATACAACAACCAAGGATAATCCCAATTCTGTTGGGGTGTGGCCTGTGGGGTTAAGATGTATGCAGTCTTACCACTAAAAGAACATAGAGGTTGTTTCAATTAGACTCTAGATGCATTGTTGCATTTAATATCCAGAATTCACTGAAAGTAAGAAGTGATTGAAGAATAATAAAAACTTTTCAGGCTTCCCACTTTTGGTGTGCACCGGTAAACTCTGCTCCTCTACCCTAACATGCGTATCACACACGAGAGGTAAACTTGACTAGCTCATGGTTTAGGAGGTGATTAGGAAGTCCCCATGCGATTCAATGGTGGC